CATTTAGAGCTTAGGTATGTGTGAGGCACCTATAGGGAATCATGTAAGCCAAACATTCTCTGCAAGTTGAATATGACATTGGGCGTCAAGATCAAATGGCAAAAATTGCTGTAACTTGCTGAATATGGCAATTAGAGCTCAGGTATGTTTGAGGCATCTATAGGAAACCATGTATGCTGAACATTCTTAGGCAGTCAGTCAAATTTGATGTTGGGCCTCAAGGTGAAGGTTAGATGACAAAAATGGCCCATACTTGTAGAGCTTAGGTATGTATTGGGCACTAATAGCAAATCATGTATGCTGATCAAACACACCATATTGGGTTTGATTTTGGTCTTCAAGGTCAAGGTCATGTGACAAATCAGTCTATTTCCTCATTTAATAATGTCTTTAGAAATTAGTGTGTATTAGGCACTAACCTATATATATAATTAAAAATTTTTACGGGCATTGAAACCGCATGGTCGACCTTTCTTCACGATCAAGTGCAGCAATAAAAACTGGTCAAAACCCATTTTTGGATGTTTGTTCCTATTAGCATCATGGAATAGAAATAATAATACTAATTAGACCCACTGTCCCACTCGGTGACAGTCTTGTGTAAAAAAAATCATTGTCTGAAAGCAGAGCAAGAACCAGAAGTGAATTGAGAAGATGGCGCACTTCACAAATTGACAGCAGATGACAGGGAAAGTTCAGGTTAGAAAAAAATCTAATCGGATTTCATGATGTAGACCTCTTAAAGATTAAATTTTTGCTAAATGGCAGAAATGTTGCTGTCTGTCACTCATGAAAAAGTGTGACCGCTCAGTCGAGTTGCCCGAGAATGGTAACTAAAACCCCTTTCTCACTGAGCTGCGTTGGCCCGCGGAAGTGTGCGGATGAAACAGTTCTCTTCTTTTGCAGAGAAGAATTGATTCGAAGAACCATGAATTGATTCGCAGTGGTACGGGACCATTCGCCATCACCACCAAAATTGTCCGAGCTGGAGCTTTTTAATGCCAATATCATGTAGACAACGTTTTGCTTTCGCAAGAATTCGTGTTGGCTTGCTGTTGAATCCGCGGACTGATGCTAGTTACTTTTCTCCTGTTGGGGCTGTAACTACCGGCAACCTTCAGGGCCCTTGGCACTGTAGTTCTGAAAATCAGGCAGTTTACCATTAGCGGGTGATATATATGATGGTCTCAGATTAGCCTAAAAATTTTTGTTGGTGAAGGATGGTTGGTTCAATAGATGAACTGCAAATTTTTAGGTGCCGATACCCTTCAGTTTCTTTTTTCAGGGGTACCAGAAGGGCCAAAGATTCCAAGATGAGACATGAACACTGAAAAATATTGCAGTTTTGAAATGCAAAAATATCATTGCGTCAACAACAGCCCACATTCATGTTCACATATGTCAATCTACTGTGTGTTGGGCTCAAAGTAATCTGAGAATTTTTGTTGGCTGTTGAGGGTGCGTCCTATAGGGGTCGCTGCAAGATGCTACTTTTGGCCATTTGAGTAGTAATATCAGGGGCATTTCCAGACTGATCCCCCAACAGCCCAAGATGGTTTATTCATAATATGATATCATAGGACGTCCTTTGCATAATGAACACAAATTAAGCATGGGATGTTGAGGGCGCAAGAGTATAGGCGGCGCTTCAGTCAAGAAAAAAGTGAAATTTGGCATTTAGGGAGGTCAAAGTTCTCCATGCACCCTCATCTGATTTTGATGAAACCTTTCTGTTGGGAAGCCCTATGTGTCTACTAACTGTGATACCTAGATGTGTGAAATTTTCTATGCTTAATAAGCTACTCATGAGCTACGTTGAGTTTGAAAATGGATGTTGAAGCATTTTTTTTTTTTTTTTACTGAGTTGTGGCCATTGATCATGGCGGGGGATGGTGATGACACTGTCGTCTTGTTTAATACTAATCATCATCATCAGACCAATTTCTTTTGAATGCTACACACAAAATTGCCATGCTAAAAGATATGGTGGCATTATGGCAATGAATTTTGTGAATGTGGTCTCTTGCTAAAATCTGCCGTAACTCTTGAATGCAATGTCCAATCATCACTAAACTTGAGATCCCTCATCTACTGGCCTTTAGTCTCAAGCCCTCCAAACCTGCTGTAAATCCACCCAAAGGTAGCACCATATCAAACAAGTAGTCACAACTCCAAAACCAATCCCCCAGTCAACTTAAAATTGTGCATGCTTCATGTTGGTCAAGGGTCCCATGGATGTCTATCAGTACAAGGTTATTTTGCAAAACAAGATGGTAGCCATCAGCCAATTACATTTCGCCATCCCTTCTACTCTGACCTATCATGTATCGTCGATAAACTTAACAAAATTATTTAGGATGCTTGAAAGACCAATCAATGATGTGCTGGAGTTATGGTCTTTTGCTATTTTTGGAATTTTTCAAATTCAGATTTTGCGGTGGCCTGGCTTACACTCTGTCTCAGTTAGCATCCCTGCTGCTTTCTCCAAAGCTTTATTTGCTAGCGCACAGCGTGGGGTGTAGGTCCTTGGTTTGGTCCCTGCCTCTGCCTGGGGAGAGGTTTTAGCAATCGCTACAGGAGGCCTCTGAAAAAGAGGAAAAAACCCATATTCTATCCCCCAGTCTGTCCCCCTGTAGGCAAAGACGCTTCCAGACCCTGATACAGGTGTATAGGAGGCTGTCCGGGCAAAGCCATAATGGCTGTGTAATTATCTTGTAGGTCAGAGTGACCAGAGACTGTCAGAAATGTCTCAGCTACAAGCATCAGCTGTTACTCTGAGAGAAATGAATGGTACTGACCGTTTGCTAATATTCCACCTGCTGGTCCTAGAGATTAGGGTGAGCACTGGATAGGTTCTCATCCTGCCAGTGCCACAATGGCATTCTGTTTACACGTGGGCTGAAGGGGGTCACCAGCAGGTCCGGTAGTGGTTTCACTCCATGGTTATCACTGCACTTTGGAGTCTTACGGCAGGGACAGTGGTTTTACCCACAGTCACCGGATGTTTGTCATGTACCAGCCCTTCCGATCTATGCTCTCTGCTCCAACATACAGAGTACTGCATCGCTGAAAGTGTCTCATTGTGCAGTGTAGAAGCCCTATTTGAGGTGCTGTTGTGATGGGGTTAATTGAAAACCATTCATTATTTCCAACTTACTGCCTTATTTTTTATTTATTTCTTTTTTTCTTTATAAACATGGCAGTTGACCAATAATGTATTGAAAAATATTGCGAGTGAGTTTTAAATTGGGAGTGAAACTATACTGATTTGCATCATGGTCCAATTTTACAGCAGCTCAGTTGGTCTGTAAAAGTCTGTTAACATGATTGTGCTCTGTCTTACTAGCCTACTTCTCGATGCGAGATGTTGTCCTGATAAGGCAGGTGCTAATGTATCACCATATTCTGCCTCTCCCATACCAATGTGGATGTTTTTCATAGGGTAGTTTACAGCCCTATACTGTTTAGACTGCAGAACTGCTGCCGTGAGGTCATTGGAGCCTGCGTTTATGTGTCTGATAAACTGTTGTTAACCTGTGATCTATGCACTGTGTCGCTCTATTAGCCAAACCTACCTTGTGTTGAAGGTTGCACTGAAATCTAAATCCACTTTTTCCTCAATTTAATCAATTCTGAATAGCCATATGAAAACATTATGGAGGATATATTCCAGAAAATTTTAAAAAATATATAAAATAGTGATTTTTTTTATTTGAGATTGTTTCCATCTACTTTTGTTTCAGCTGAAAGATTTAACTTTTGATGCAATGTCATCGTGTATCAGTGGGCGAGAGCCAAAAATGGAATGTCTGTCCATCGTTTGTTCTCCTCCAATCAGTGTCCTTCCACGCCCGTCTAAATACACTGCAGTTGGGAGTGCACATCTGCAATTAACATCCATCAAATCGACTCCCCTTCAAAAATTCTGCATAAATATTTTGATTTTCCATATTGCTGAAACCTCTGTTCTGATTTCTGTCATGGTGTCTTAAGCCTTCTGTCCTGTTTTTAACCCTTGTGGAGTGAAACAAAATGTGTTCTGGGGTTCCTGTACATTTTAGAGGCGTGTAGAGCCCTGTTCGATTATTGCACTGCAGTCATTATTCATTTCCTACCAGCAAGATGAGGCCTGGCTAATCTTCACCCAAACCTCCTGCTGTGTGACACACTGCCTTTTCCCTGGGGGCAGGGTTGATTATTGATATACTGTCAGTGTGTGTGTGTGTGTGTGTGTGTGTGTGCGTGTTTATGGTGTTGAGACACAGTTGCTCTATGCCTCCGTTCTGCAGCTCAGGTGGGGGCATTAGGCTGTGAGGAGGTAGGATGTAACATATCGGTTGTGGATGCCTGTGAATTAGAATGAACAATCTGTGTTATCATGTATGTATTCCTCATTAAACAGTGAATATGTGTTATAGGACTGAGTCATATTCATTCTATAACTGTCCAAATGCTGCCATCACCAGCCTGCATGTGTAGTATGTGTATATGTGTGTGTGTGTGTGTGTGTGTGTGTGCAGTGATCAGATTAAGTAATAAAAAAAAAAATTGATTAGCATTTTTTGCTAATCAGTATATCAATTGATTTGCAATTGTTTAGCACATCTGAAAAATTGATTAGCAAAAATTGGAAAACAGTTAATCAGATTTTAAATGATAAAAAGGCTTTTTTTATTCTTTCCTGTGTGTGTGTGTGTGTGTGTGTGTGTGTGTGTGTTTGTGTGTATGTCTATGTACATTCAATTGATGCATATTTTATGCATCTCCCTCTTTGTCTCTTTCCCTCTTCGGCAGCCCTCCACCCTGCCCCAGGGTACCATCGACATGACGCTCTGCTCGGATGTGCTGGATGCCGAGTCGCTGACCGGACAGAGTAACTCCCTGTGCATCCTCTCCCCCGACGCCCCTCACGCCCAGCACTTCATCCGCACTCACAGCAGGGAGAGCATGCAGGGGTGAGCCCAGAACCATCACGCCCTGCCTCCTGCTGTTTTTTCTTTCACTTGGTGGTGCAGTGGTTTGCACTGCCGCCTAAGAGCTAGAAGGTCGTGGGTTCGAATCCGGCCTGGGGCCTCACTGAGTGGATTAGTGGATACACAGCTGTTAGGATGAGACTGGGCGGGGATTATTGGATGTGCAGGTTTTAGGGTGATACTGGGATTGGTTGATGCATGCCTGTTTAAGCGAGACTGGGCTGGGATTGGTGGATACACAGCTGTTGGGGCGAGACTGAGCTGTGATTGGTGGATGCCCAGTTGTTAGTACGAGTGCTGCTCTCTCTGATAACGGTGCCCCTCCCTCCTCCCGTCCTCCGGCTGAGATATGTGTCATGCAGCCCTGCCCTCTGATTGGACGAGTTCAGCAAATATCCAGTGTTGTCCTTTAAGGTGTGTGACCAGGAGCAAGAGGAGTGGCTGTGAAATGAGTTTCTGTGTGTAAGTTGTCTGGCCTATAAACACTGCCCTGCAGATGGTGCAGCAACTATTAACCAGGAAGTGCCTTTTTTCCATGCAGTTTCAAGGAGGCTTTGCATCTCCATTAAACAAAAAAAAAAAAAAAAATGTGGCTGATGAAATGTGCCCACCTGCTGAAGACGTCCAGGGTTCGTGTGGGCGCTGAAAATCCTTGAAAATGCATTGATTCTGACGTGGTGTTTTTAAAGGTTTGAAAAGCATTGGATTTTGAATGAAGTGCGTGAAACTGCTTGAAATTATGATGTTATTTGCTTTACTTTTGTGACACATTTTTATCTGACGGAGTAATGTGATGCATATGCAATTTACCACAGCTGTAAGGAAAAGCCTGAAAATGAACTTTGAATAGTGCTTGAATTTGACTATGGAAATTGTGTAGGAACAATGGATTTATAAATATTGTTTACAAATTTATAAATATTGTTTTGTGTGTAACATACATAGGGCTCTTTGTGTTGAATGTATGTAGGGCTCTTTGTGTATAACACAAATGGGGCTCTTTGTGTATAATACATGCAGGATTCTTTTTTATAACTCATGTAGGGCTGTTTGTGTATAATATATGTAGTGCTCTTTGTGCATAATATACATTGCCAGTCCAAAAAAAAAAGTCACCGTTTGGATATAAATAAACAAATACAATGACTGAATCATTATTGCAGCGATTAATGTGTTTTAGGGGGAAATAGTTATTTTAACGCTGACTGATGAAGCAGGTAGCTTCTCATTTCTTAAAAAAATGATGCCAGAAAACTTACCCCTCGGTGGTGGAAAAGATGTTTCGGTATTTCAGAGGGGGTGAATTATTGGTCTGCATCCAGCAAAGAAAACAATGAAGGAGGAACCTAGCATGAGGAATCATTTTCACACACTAATTCGCCACCAGGAAGTCCTGACCTGAACCACATTGAAAGTTAGTGGGATGTGCTGGAGAGGACTGCAGAGGGGTCTTGAGTCAAGAACTAATGCGACACTGACTGGAAATAAGGGTTCTGATGTTGCATATGGTTGTCAAAATAAAGACATGATAAATTTGCACTGTAATCAAGGCTACTGGGGTTCCTTATAAATATTTGACTGTACGATTTTTTTTTTTTTTTTTTTTTTTTTGCCAGGCAGTGTATGTTGGACTCTTTGTGTATATTTATTGTTCTTTTTGTTGACGTGTAGGTGGCGGGAGAGTCTGCTGCACTTCGTAAGGAGCGGCAAGGAAAACCTGGAGAGGAAACGCAAGGTGAGGAGCTCTGTTGTACTGGTATAAGAGCATCTCAGGAGCACGTCTCACACGCACACACGCGCACACACACACACACACACACGTACATGCACACAAGCTCACAGCTGTGACTCTGCTTTGACTCCATGTTCTGCATATCGCTCTGACTTCTGTGTGTGACTCTGCTGGGACCCTGACCCCTATATGCAACTCAGTAGTGACTCTGACTCCTGTTTGTGACTCTGGTGGGATTTTGACAGCTGTGAGGGACTGTCTCCTGTGTGTGATTCTGTCATGACTTACTCCTGCGTGTGACTGACTCCTGTGAGAAAGACTGTGTCCTGTGTGTGACTGACTCCTGTTTGTGACTGCAGTGACTGACTGCTGTGAGTGACTCTGTGTCCTGTGTGTGACTGACTCCTGTTTGTGACTGCAGTGACTGACTGCTGTGAGTGACTCTGTGTCCTGTGTGTGACTGACTCCTGTTTGCGACTGCACTGACTGACTGCTGTGAGTGACTCTGTGTCCTGTGTGTGACTGACTCCTGTTTGTGACTGCAGTGACTGACTGCTGTGAGTGACTCTGTGTCCTGTGTTTGACTGACTCCTGTTAGTGACTGCAGTGACTCTGGTTTGTGACTGCTGTGACTCTGACGTCTCCGAATGACTCTGCATCCTGTGTGTGACTGACTCCTGTTTGTGACTCTGTGTCCAGTGTGTGATTCTGAGGGTGCATCCAAATTGTTTTAAACGGGCGGCGCTTTTTATTATTATTATTATCTCCATGCTTCCGAAAAAGCGAGGAGATTTTGTAATACAGTTCGGCGTCTGTCCGTCCATCTGTCCGTCCGAAACAGGAACTCCCTCTAGGCCTTTAGACCAATTTACCTGAAACTTAGGTGTGTGTAAGGTAGTGACCCAGAGGGGTGCACAACGCATTTAGAATTTAAATTAATTTCCTCTTCTGGCCACCAGGGGCCTTTAATCAATCTTTCCTCTCTCTCGATGCTGGAAAAGCAACAAAGGAGCTCATTTCCACCTCTCATAAAATCTTAAATCTTCATGAAATGAAAACTTAGACACTCCTTTTCATGGCAAAATGATTTTCTGATCATGCCGGTGAAGGAGGAAGGTGCTTTGTTCTTTCGTATATTTGGATACACCCTGACTCCTTTGTATCTATGCTGTGACTCTGACTCCTGTGTGTGACTCAGTTGTGACTCTGACTCATTTTTGTGAATCAACTGTGATTCTGACTCGGGTGCTTGAATCCAATATGACTCGGACTCCTGTGCGTAACTCAGTTGTGACTCTGACTCATTTGTGTGACTTAGTTGTGACTGTTATTGGGCAGGAGCCTTGTCTTCCCAAGGTGTCTGTGACGATGAACAACGGCAGCAAGGCAAGCAGAACACGGCTCAGAGGCGCCCCCTGCATTTGCCCGAGGGAACATGAGGAGCGGCGCGACCAGTCAGCCATCCCTTACAGCCACAGCGCCCCCTCTCTGCAACAACAGGAGCACGGCCTGCTTTCCCAGAGCAGATTCTCATCTGAATCACTCGAAGACTGTAAGGGCAGGGCGGTGCGCTGGCGTGTTTATGAGTGCGTGTGTCTGCATGTGTGTTATGTGTGTTTGTTCTGATGGGTGACAGATCAGAGAGAAAAACCTGAATAAATGTGGGTGGCCAAACATAACACGTTAATGTTTATGTTCATTTTCCTCACATGGTTTGGGTCCAATCCTCCCCTTAACCCTCAGTTATAGAATCAAGCCAAGCATTGCTAATGAGTGCATGACCCCTATTGAAGGTTTTACAACTCAGAATATTGGCATCAAAGAGGCAATAAAAATTATTTCAATGAAGCAAGATACTCAAATCATTTGGATTTGAAGCTAACTTCTGTCTATTTTCATAATTTTGAGACAAAGTACTGGAAATGCAATGAAACTCCATGAAAATTTAACATTGTTGTTTAGTTGTTTTGTGAAGAAATACTGAGACACAAAAAATGGCTTGGAAGTAAAACAATACATTTCCTTGATAATAAATTCATTGACCAGAAGTGTAATGCATCTGAGGGTGACGCTCAGAACTACTGATCATTTGTGAAGCCAAATATAAGCTGCCCCCCACCTCCCCAAACAGCTAAAAATTGAGAGATTTTTTGCTTTGGTGTAAATTATAAATAATACAATGTTTCCCTACCAAGCAACTGTTCTGATGCATGGTACAAACTTTTACATCAAATGCAAGTGGATGTCATGATTTTTTAACCCCTCTGCACAGATGTAGATGCCAGCATACATAGAGCTGCTCTATTTATGCATGCAGTTACACTATTCTATCATTAAATGGCACACCTGGATCAGTTATTGAACATTCACTAACAAGCCGAACTCGAACGCAGTTTAGAATTTGGACGAATTGAGTCCCATCCCCCATCCAGGAGTTGTATGAATTAAAATCCTCAGCTAAGCATGATGTGCAACCTGCTCAATATACTTGCCCATAGTATTCATCCAGCAGTTTAAAAAAATGATCTCTTGCGACTGAAAAGAATCGTTGTTCTTTGTAGCAACCACTTCAGCTATAGTGAGCCAATGGTATCCCAATTAAGTAGTCAAGAAAAATCAGTTTTCTGAAACAAAAATTAGACATGATATTGATACTATGTAATTCCACTATCAATTATATTCATCACATATTAAGAACGATTCCCTACTGTGGATTTATGTGTAGATTCCTCCATAGACAAATTCTACGTTCACGTATATCCTAAGGACTCTCCCTGATGGCCAGATATTTCTGAGTTAGTGTGTTCTACTTGTTGCTTTTCAGGTGTGAAAACTGTTCATATAAGCTTGTGAGCTTGGATGTGGGAACTGATTGCTTTTCATAGCAGGGTGAATGTTCTGTCCGTTAAATAAGCAGTTCCTTTAATGAGTATGTGTGCTGGCTTGTGGGACTCTGGGACTCTGAAGAAAAATGGACAAATTTCTAAACTTCATCATGCAGAAAAGGCATGTTTTGTGTTTGGAGAGGTTACTGGTGACCACTGATGTCCAACTGTACCTATATTAATAAACTCATGCTAAATTCAACCAGGAAATTATTATAACATTGAATTTCATTCGTCAACAGTTGATTTGTATTAAAAATGTGAGTATTTTATGATTTGACAGTGCGCCATTTTGAGGGATCTGAGAGTTTGGGGAGCCACCTGGAGAGCTGTCTTATTTGGCTTATAAAGAGTAGATAATTTAGAATTTCAAGCTCAGATGAAGAATACTTGTGGTCAAGGAGTTTATGATTCCAGAAATGTAAAGTTTTAACTCCCAGCCATTTTTCAATCCTCAGTATTATTTTACAATTTTAATGCTGC